GAGAGTGCAATTCTAAGTTTATAGTGGAGTAACTATTGGAATTAATAGAATTAATTAATTAATTAAAGTGTTTAATTGATTATTAATTTTATTGGAGCTCGGGATTATAGGTCCATTTGTCCCCTCGTCGTCCTAGTAATTCTGCCAGACACAGAGGGCAAAATGGGAATTTTAGAATTACGGAATTTTAAAATTAAATACTCGAAAATAATTAATTGAGAATTAATTATTATTTGAATAATGTGATTATTTAAATTTGAATTTGAACACATCTAGAATTATCTATTTGAACTTATTTGTAAGTTGTTCAATTTAGAAATTCAAATTAATTTAAGTTTGACTTAAATTCGAATTTGAAATTGAAATAAAATTGAACTACAGGATAAAGGATGATTTTCTCTTTCTTTCCTATCCTGATATTGGCGCCACACAGGGATGAGAATCCCCTTAGAATGGCCGGCCATATAGGATAGAGGAAAAGAGGAGATTTGGTTTAAAATTCAAATAGGAGATAATTAACAAGCTTTATCTTAGAGATAGAGATTGAATTCCTTCTAGAAGTTTGACTTCTACTCTATAAATACTATTTTTGAGACAATTTTCGGAATGGTTTTTTGCCCTAATTTTAGAGGTAGCCGAAATTTCTCTATAGAAATTTTGGAAACAATTTTTCAGCCCTAAGGGTTAAGGCTGGCCGAAATTTTCAAGAGAGAAAGGAAGGAAAAATTTTTCTCCAAAAATTTCACATCGTGCATGTGATGGTGTTTGTGGAAATTCGAGTGTTTATTGTAACCCGTTTTGTCTCATGTGTGCCCACACACACGTCTTCGTGGATTCTAGGAATTGATGTGGAAGACATTGGTTTTCTAAACACAAAGATTGGAGCAAGGACTGTTCGTGGTCAAAGAACTCAAGTTATCATCCGAGTCGGCTTCCAGGTATTTTTCCTGATTGAGTTCTTGATATATATAAGTTAATGAGATTAATTTATTCGTGCATAAATTAATATAATCTATAGAGTATCTCAAAAGTTTTATGAAAATTTTTGTTATACACGATCCGCCTCTTCCTCGCACCACCACGCTTCCGCATCCGGATTCGATCCGGAGACCAACAAAAAGCCCCCAAAAAGTTTCTCAAGTGATCTAATGAATAATGTGACTTACTGGACTATTTATAGTGTTTAGGAAGTTATATTTTCGTAACAATTAGGTTTTTCAAAGTTTATCTCGTTTACAGAGTCAGTTTTTCTACGTCAGCATGCGCTACACGTTACAACCGGTCAACTGGGGACAAAGACGTTATAACTCACCGGTTGACCTGTCCTTCATGAACCGGTCGACTGGTTCGATCGACCTGTTTGAACACAGGAAAATTGTTTTCCTAGTTTTTGAACACGAAAAACTTGTACAGAGCCTGAGTTTTAATTTAAGCAATCTAATGGAGAAGTTGCCTGATCAAAACAGTCGTATAATAGTCTTCTCATACTAAATAACTCTCAAAATAATAATTCAACCAATTTATTTAGAATTAATTTAACAATTAATCCACCCGACAAATTACTCATGAACTAAACAACCTGAAACATTGATTCAAGTATTCAACCAATTTATCTAGAATTAATTTATCAATTAATTCACTTGATAAATAACTCATGAATTAATTAATCAATCGCATATTAACTCTGAACCTCTTTTACAGAAATAACACAAGTTACCAATATGTAGGAAATACACAGTATCGTTACAGGAAATTATGTGAGCTAGCAAAGGAACCCGATGGACATATATATATCAAGCTCATATAATCACAACTCTACTTGTAAACCAATAAGTCCGTCTCATAATTATAAAACTCTAGCGCTACTCCACTAAAAGCCTAGAGCTGCACTCTCGATTTATATAACATATTTACAAAGCTCTGAATAGCTTTCGTCCATGACTCAATATATTAGTGTATCATCCTCATAGGATATCCATAATCGACTTGAGGTCATGTTCGTTTTACCTTCCCGATTATATTTATCTTATGTTTCATTACCACTCCATTGGAAAACCATCATTCGTACCATTACAAATAGTAAACTATTAGATAACACAGAGTAGTCTAATGGCTGAACGCTCGTACTTTCTAATCCACAGATAATGCATAAGAGGATATCATTGACTCTTTATAGGAGCTATGGATTCCACTATCTATGATAACGCATCTACACATACACGAGTCATACCCCTAATGTACTGGTAAGCGTACCTTTACATAATGTCAGGATGCCTTCTTTTGGTACATCAAAGAATACAAGTCAAGCATACGGGTTCATTATCCATCTCAGGATTAAGATGACCACATATAATTCGTCAAAAGTGAATTATTTTATACAAACAGAATTATTAAATTAAAACAATTTAACTTTAGTCTGACCCAATATATATTTCACCACTAGAAACTATATTAATGTCTCTACCCATGGAGACTCACCTCTGACGACTAAGACAAGCCGTATCCGTTAGAAAGTAGACAACATAACAATCTTAACATGAATAAATCGCTCAACTTTATTCTCTCGATTGTGAATCATGTGATTTAGACTATCATCTTTAAATTTATGTCTTCCGCATATTCTTCTTATTACATACATGACTTAAGAATTTAAAATGACAGTATCAAACTTTCAATTTATTTATCATACATTTAATTAATATGAATATAAAAATGATAATACATGAATATGTAAAATAAATAAATCTTTATTAATAGTCAAAATATCTCAAAATATTGTTACATTTATTTCTAAAGTCATAAACGTTAACAATGTGACGACTGAAGATCGGACTCAATCTCCTCTGTCGCCGTTGCTCTCCTACAATTCTTCTGACAATAAACCAGAGACCTCGGTGGTTGAGTCGTAGATTACTGCTCCGATCATTAAGCCGATGACAAAAGGCAATAGGGGAAGGGCTTGGTGATTAGACGATATTGTTTAAAGAAGCCTTTTGGGTTTGATCTTCGAAATTGATGTGTTTGGGATATTGATTATGGTTTTTTTACTTTTTTATTTTGTTATTATAGTGAGAAGAAGGAAAGTGATGAAGAGCATGAGTCTTGGGTTTAGAGAATTTCTAAATCTTTATGTTCTCCAGAACAAACAACAAATCAAAAAAGGAAAAAAAAAAAAAAAAAAGAGAAGAGAGAGCAATTCCATCATCACTAACAACTCGTCTTAGCATGGTCAGGCATTAGCTTTGGGGGTGGAAGCAATTCATAGCCACAAACCTTCTCTTACTTTCTGACTTCTTGTATACATGCCCAAAAACTTTTAAAAAAATCCCTAGTGCCTTGGATCTCTGCAACCAAACCATATATATTCCACCAAGATCAACAAACAAAAAACCCATGTTATGAAAAAAAAACAAAAAAAAACAAAAAAAACGAAACCCAAAGTTGATTTGGTTTTCCACCACCATTATCCATGTTTGTTTTTTATTTTTTTAATATTATGTTTTTTATTTTAAGCATTGAAAAATATTTATTTCTATCAAAATTTTATTCACATAGAAAATTATTTATTTGTCTTTAAAATGAGAGTCACTATAAAAGAGACGCGTGTTAACGGTGAATTGTTCAGAAAAAAAATTTACTATTTTTAAATTTTAAGAGGAATTTTTACAAAATATCAATAATTTAAGAAGCACAAGTATAATTTATCTAATATTTTATGAAAAAAAATATTATAATAAAATTAAAATTATAAATTTAAATGTATAAAATATATAGATTTAAAAATACATAAAAAATAAAATACACAGAAAAGAAAAATACTTTAGCACGGGTCACACGAATTCTTCAATCACATTCTCTTTCGGAAGCGCGTGGGTTTAATTAACTTCCGCCCCACGAAGCGGAGCGCACCACGCAAACGTGCGCTCTCCCCCATTTTATATTTGCAGTTTAGTCCTTTCATTTCTCCCAAGAGCACACCAATTATAATAAAAAAATAAAAAGAAAATAATAAAATGAAAATGACTCACATTGCGTGCACTTTTTTAAGAATACATTTATATGTTTTTGGGTTAATTTTTTTAAAAAGAATATATCACGTGACTTCCCGTGAAAATAAATAGCGAAAAAGAAAAAAAAAAGAAAATATAAAACGGAAAATAAAATTAATAGTAGTAAAAGAAAAAAACCAAAATAAAAAGACAAGAAAAGAAAAAACTCTCCGTTATTCAGTTTTCTAACATGCGCCATCTGTTACTGCCGACCATGCCCGCGTCTTCTTCTTCCTCCTCTTCCTCCTCCGCCGTCGCATCGCCATCGCCGACCTCCTCCAAGTCCAAATCCTCAAACCCTAACCCTAACCCTAACTCCCTTCCCTGCAAGCATTCCCCTTCGGCCACTCTGGACCTCCTCATCCTCATCCTCGTCCTCTTCTCCGGCTCCTTCCTCCTCACCTCCTATTTTTCCTACATCTTCAACTCCCTTTCTCTCCTTCTCTCGTCTTCCTCCTTCCATGTCCACCACGTCCAACTCCACCTCCCCTTCCTCCTCGGCTTCGTCGTTCTCTTCGCCGCCGGCGTCCTCTCCGCCGAGTTCTGCTTCGGGGCGCGATCGCGCAAGTGCGACAGGCCGGGATGCAAGGGATTGAAGAAGGCGATGGAGTTCGATTTGAAATTGCAGAATGAGGAGTCCGTCAGGGGCGCGTCCAAGGAGATCGACAGGTTGCCGTGGAAGGGCGGCAGCGAGGCCAATCCAGACTACGAGTGCCTCAGGTCGGAGCTCAGGAAGATGGCGCCGTCGAATGGCCGAGCCGTACTGCTCTTCCGCGCCCGCTGTGGATGTCCCGTCGCCAAGCTCGAGGGGTGGGGGCCCAAGCGCGGTCGGCGGCACAAGAAGTGAGTTTCTTGGTTCTTGATTCTTGATTCCGAATGCGTTTGATTTTGTGCGATTTGTGATTGTTGAATTACTGGTAAAGCAATGGATTTTTGGTGCTTTCTCATTTCTGCGGATGATTCTTTGAAGTGGATTGGAAATGGTATTGATCTGGATTTTTAGGCTTTTTATTTTTCCTTGAAAGATAGATTTTAGGTTTTTGGAGCAAGAGATTTGAACAGAACTTCCTGGATGAAATTCTGATAGTTTAATTCTATAGTACAATTTCATAGGAACTTAATTGCGAATTGCCATGAGTATTAGTATGAAATTTTTGGGAGAATTCAAAGATTTGATCCTGATTAGCAAATGGAACTTAACTGGTAAGAGTTTACTCTGAAGTTGAATTTCTGGGTAACATTTTCATGGTTTCTTGATGAATAAAGAGAAATGGGAGAGATTGTTGTTATAGAGGTTAAAGGCTAGGTTTTGACACCCGAGTTCTCATCATATTGAGAGATTTCACATTAGTTTGATCTTTATTGGCCTATCCCAAGAACACTAATCGGAGAAGGAACTTTTGTTATTTTGCTAGAAAATTGGAAAAGGAACTTTATTTTTGTTGAGTATATTTGTGCTAGAATGAACTGCATTGGAAGAATATCTTGATAGATGCACTATTTTTGATATGCAGTCATACTAAAATTTAGGGTGACTACTAGTTTGTGCTTATCAATGTTTATTTAATCTTGGAATTCTACAGGAGTTAGTGCATAGATGTTGGTATTAAGATGCATATTCTAGGTAGTCCAATGTTTAGTTAAGCTTTGGACATGATTTTCTTTGATTGCGGTCCTTATTTTCAAATCAAGTTGGTCGAATGTTTTCTCATTTACACATTTTGGCTCAACAAATGCAATGGAAAGATGATCTGATAGGCCAGAAGTTCTGCTCTTTTCTTCTCTTTATTTCTGTTTTGTGTCTTCTTCTTCTTCTTCTTCTTCTTTCTTCTTTTACTTTTCAAAGGTCGCAGTTTGTCATCTTTGGCATTTTCTGGTTATTTTGTGGTGTTACCTTGCCAAACTAAAGAAGGTGAACTTTTTCCCTACTGCATATTTAATTGTATTAATTGGAATGTGATAGCACCAATGATTTCCCTGGTAATGATTTCCTAAATGATCTCTTTATTGTATGAAAAGAACAGCAGTAACACTTTTACTTCTTTAGTGTTCCATAGGGGAATTATGTTGTTCTGTCATTTTTCCTTTTACCTCTTGGTAATTGTATGGACCTTTGGTCCCGAACCTTTTGCTGCTATGTCTCTGTTGAGAGGTTATTGAATATATCACCTGCGAGCTTACGTATGATTCTTGTAATTAACATGAAATTTAGTTTCACATGAAGTAACATAGATGATGTTCCAAATGATGATTTGATTTTGGGGTTGTGGCTAATGCAAGGTATAGCGCATAATATGCAATCGATCTTTAAACATTATTTTATTTAAATTAGTCAAATCAGTGGACTATCACTTGGTAAGCTATCTACAATGCTTATGTGCAGTGTACATAATTATAATGTCTATCGTAATAAGTGTTGGTTCCAGCATTTGTTTCACGTTGCAGAACTTGGACACTATCTATTTGCGGTGATAGCTTGCTCAATTTTAGTAATGTGTTTTGAGTTTGGTAAAAATGCTTTAAATATTCATTAGTGACTGTAAGTAAAAGTTATGTTTTGCTCTGGTGTATAATTCTCGAGTCTGGTGCTTGCAGGGCTCTGGCTGGCACGGCTCTGACAGGTGGTGATCATCGCTGATTGTTCATGATGCTTTTGTCTTCAGGGTTCCCTTTAAATCTTTTTTCCCTCCTTAGATCTTAGACGTTCTTTCTTTCTTTGTACAAGACTTCATTCTCTATCAAAACAATTCTTTGAATACCATATTCCCCATGGGATACGTTTAGTATGACAAAAGAAGAACTTGTGTTGGCAAGCATCATCTCTGGAGCTTGCTTAACGTTTGTGGAAGGACATACCAACTTTAATGCAAATAAACACATCAAAACTTTCGGTTTCTACAGCAATAGCTTTAGCAATTTGGCATCTCTCTACTTTTTTTGAGCTGTTTTTAACGGTTCATGACTATTTTAAGGGGTTGGGGAAGTAGTGTGTTAACCAACATACATTATGCAAAATATTTTGACATCCAACAACGTTGCCTTGCTGAGTTGAGGTTTGCTATGAAGTCTTGGGACTTGAGATTCTTACAAAAAAGAAGGAAAATTTTGGATGTGGGAAACTGAGCATTAGGTTTTGAGCACTGTTATTCATCCCCATTAAAACATAACTACTTATATAAGGGGGGTTCTATTAGGTGGGGCCTAATCTAGTGGGATTTACCTTCTTGTGAGTAATGGGATTTATTCCACGGGATGATTATGAATGCCATTCTTCTTAGGTTTTTGTTGAGTTAGATCTCTGGAGGAGGTCAATGCACTTGATTGAACCGAGTCAAGTCAATCTGGTTTGCACATAAATGATTAATGTTGCATGTATATAAATATGAAAAGATGCTGAGATCTTGTCACTGGACCACTCAATAGGTGTTATAACTAATTTAATAATTCGAGTACGACATAAATATGTGTTATTTTTTCAGCCAACAAATAGTTATATTGTTTTTTTTAAGGGAAAATAGTTATATTGTTAATTTAATACAATTTGGATAATTAGTGCCTTTTATTTTATAAGATTTTAATTTTGTAGGGATTTTTTAGGGTATTTTATAGTATGCAAATTAAAAGTCAGCTAGTTGGCTGTCCAAAAAACAAAAAAAAAAACAAAAAAAGAAGAAGGAGAAGTTTCAACTTGTTGGCTGGTAAAAGGGAGAATTAAAATATATATATATATATA